CCTTACAACATGCCTAATCTCCCTCGGACGCCTTACAACATGCCTAATCTCCTCGGACTGCCTTACAACATGCCTAATCTCCCTGGATGCCTTACAGCATGCCTAATCTCCCTGGACGCCTTACAACATGCCTAATCTCCCTGGACGCCTTACAACATGCCTAATCTCCCTGGACGCCTTACAACATGCCTCACACGAAGACTGATCTCTACAGGGTGTCCGAAAAGTCTGGAACCATAGGCACTTCATCGGATTATGCAGTATGTGATGCACATGCCGTCCTTGTAATTCGAAACAAGTTTGGATTAACAACAAGATTAACTCGATCTTCTCATACTTTGACAGTGCATAATCAATCACGTATTTAAAATTAAGAAAAGCTGCAAATCACCTATGGTTCCAGACTATTAGGACACCCTGTATTTGAATCCTATTGTTGGCGCTACCAATTATGAGAGACTTAATACAGAATATGTTAAAAAATAACGGAAATATCCTAACTTTGCTATTAATTTACAAAAGAAATATATTTAAATCTGACCCTAGGTAATCCACAAAATGTTGAACTATCTGTACGTGCAATAAACACCAGGTCAGTGGTTTTCAAACTATGTGTCGCAGCAAGTTGCTAGAGGTGTCACGAGAGTTTCACCAAACGAAAAATAATTAAGAAAATAAAAACAACTCTAAAAAAATATTGCATGTGGCAGCAAGGGTGTCGCACTAATCAAGGTAAGTGAGTTAGGATGTGATCAGTGAAAAAGGTTTAGGAACCACTACACTAGGCTTTTAAATTTTAATTTTTCATCTATAATGAATGTTTTTTGTTGTTGTTGTTGTTTGTTTGTGTTTTTGCAGTTTCTGATTAGTTTTCTGTATTTCTGAACATTTTCAATTCAGGCGTGTAAATTTGAGTATATTTTCCATCTCCCAAAACTGAATTCATGCTATTGCAAAACAACTAGTATCATTCTGACAGCATCGCTAACACCACTTTTCCCCTACCACAATTGTATGTGTATTAAAGTTATCCTAAAATTTATTACTGATTTCTAACAAATAACTTACTTCATTTGTTAAATGTTTTTGTCACAGTCTTGTACAGTTTCCTCATTACGAGGTTTACTCCAATGTTTTGGGAGAATTAGCCTAAACTAAGCATGTAATAAGCAAAAGGTCTATAATTTTTTGCTCTTGACGATACCTACTTAGACCAAAAAGATTATGGATAAAATAAAAACATAAGCCACGTGTAATATGTGTTATCGTTTGTTGACTTTAGTTACTTTAAAAGCATACACAATAAACGACAAATCTGGTATGTAACCCGCGTTGGGTAAGAAAAACATGTGGGCTTATAACGCTAAAACTCGGGTTTTGATGCCTGCTGAGGGAAGAACACAGATATTTCATTGTGTAGTTTTGTACTTAAAATCAAATAAGTTCGTGTTAAGACGATTAACGACGACACGTAAATGGCGTAATTATTTTAATGATTGGAACTTTATTATGTATATATATATATATGTATATATACATTATAAGTTTTGCTGTCCTGGTTCCTTTGGGAAAGAAAAACCTGGGAAAAGAGAGAAGATTAGTGGCAACTAGTTGCTTATATTACAAGTGTAAAATATTTGTAAATAGAAAAATTAGGACGTAGGAATTGGAGCACCAAAAAGTAAGGAAACAAGGTAGGAATGGGCGGGTAACATTACAACACTTGATGGTTTTTGACACAGTGGGTGTGGCTATCATTCTGCCCATTCCTACTTTGTATCTTACTTTGAACTTTGTGTGGACTTTGACGAAAATCAGACAATTTTGTGCAAAGCTATACAAGGGCTATCTGCGCTAGCTCTCCCTAATTTAGCAGTGAAAGACTAGAGGGAAGGCAGCTAGTCAACTCTTGAGCTACTCTTTTACCAACGAATAGTGGCATTGACCGTCACTTTATAATGCCCCCACAGATGAAAGGGCAAACATGTTTGGTAAGACGGGGATTTGAACTCGCGACCCTCAGATTGTTAGTCAGGTGCCCCAAATACCTGGCCATGCCAAGCCCCCTGGATACAACTGTGATAACCTATAGTGTAAAGAATTTTTTTTTTACACACACATTTAACTTGTTTTGAATATATTATTTTACAACAAGTGGGCTGTTTGTTTATCGTTTCAATTTATCACCAACAACTCAGAGACACCTACTGTTAAAAAATCCGGCCCCATAAAAACCTGACATTTGGCAAGCTAGCCAGGATTATACAGTGGTAAACGACAGTAAAAGAAGACGTGAACAACAGAGGAAGTAGGCCTATATATGCACAATTGTAGTGGTGGTGAAAATAGTGTAGAGATTACAATCACGCTATATAACCATGTCGATTAATGATGTTATAAAAACAGGTAGGTTCAAGAAGTCTTGACAGAAGTGAATAAAAACCCTATAACCCGAGTGCTTTCAAAAGGTGGGCCTTTCTTCTTCAGGGGTAAAATGGGAATTGCCCCTGAAGAAGAAAGGTCCATCTTTCTAAAGCACTCGGGTTATATTATTTTTATTCATTTCTAACCATGTCGATTGATTTTAATAAATGGATAGAGAGGTGAGTGACTTGGGCTAAAAGATATTGATCTACGAGAGTTTGTTAAAGAACAACACGACCTAGAGAGAGAGAAGAGTATAGGCAAAGAAGGAAGGAAAAACTGAAAGAAGAAAAGGAGAGAAAGGAGAGACTAGAACTAGAGAGAATAAGAGTACAGACTGAGAAAGAATTTTCGGGAGAGAGAGGAGAGGCTACAAATAGAGAGAATACGAGCACAGATTGAGAAAGAAGAAAAGGAGAGAGACTGCAAATAGAGAGAATAAGAGCACAAACTGAGACTGCAAAGCTCACCCAACAGAAAGACAAAGAACCTAAGAATTACAATGAAGTCAGGGCTAGTCGACCCAAGCTGCCTAAATCTGATGAACAGAAAGATGATATGGATGCTTTCTTGGAGAGATAAAAATAATTCGCAAAGTCAGAACTGGGACAAAGGTGACTGGGCAGTCTGTCTCAGCCCATTTCTCACATGTATATGCAGACATGACGTCAGAAAATGCCATAAACTATGACAAGTTAAAAGTGGCGCTGCTGAATTGCTATGAACTTGACAAGGAAGGTTTTGTCGGAAGTTCCGTGAAGTCAAACCTGACACTAGAGGAACTGTATTTCATTTTGTGGCACATTTATGGAGATACTTCATTAGATTAACTAACATCGCCAAGTGTGAAAATAGTTTGGAGGGACTGGCAGATCTACTAATACGTGAGCAGTTCATGATTACATGCTCCACTGACATGTAACTGTTTCTAAAGGAGAAAGCACCAAAAGACGTGGATGGGATGACCAAGCTGTAAGAATAGTACATGTATATGAAAACACAATGGATAACTAGTTAAAGTTGATATCAGGGATGGTTGACCAGAAAGAGGATACCACCAAAGGTTATAATAACTCAATGGATAAAAGGGACACATTGTGAATGAGTGCAAATCTGTCACCAACAAGCAACAGCAGAAATTTCAACATAAAGCAGCTGGAGCTACCTGCAGAGATGGTGCTGGCAAGAAACAAGAAAAGAGTGACCATCATAATGGATGCTGCTGCCTGAAGAAACAAAATAGAGACAACCTGTCAGATTCAACGCAAGGAGGAAGTGCTATTTCCATGATTAAACAGTGCATGACTGATTGTCAACTCAAGTTAGCAAATGGGTCAACAGTTCCAGTAATGATTGGAGCATGTGACAAATATCAAGAGGTGCCAACAAAACACAACATGCCAGTAGGTGGAGGCTATGTTGGGGACAAGAAGAAAATTAAAATCTTACGAGACACTGGCTGAAGCAGTGAGAACCAGTCTAATATCTGAAGACCAGATGATGGGCAAGGTACATCTGTGTGTGCTGACTGATGGAACAGTGAGAAAGTTTCTCATAGTAAGAATAAAGGTGTACACTCCTTACCATGTGGGAGACCTTGAGACCATTTGTATGAAGACAACCATCTATGAATTGATTATTGGCAATATACCAGGCCACATGAGTTTGGAGGAACTGGACAGAAAAGAGACCGATGAGGCATCTGCAGTCTCCACAAGAGCTCAAGAAAAGAAACACAAGCAAGACATCAAGACCCGTCAAGTCTCGAAAAGTAACATTATAGCTGTAGGTCTATGGGAACTGAAGGAAGCACAGAAGAATGACCCTTCGTTGCAGAAATTTTGGGACAGTGACAGGTAGAAAGTCGAGCACAGACAAAAGGGAAAAAGACTTACAGAATAGAGGGAAAAAAGAGTGCTGAAGAAGTTAAAGAAACCACAGTATAAACAGAATACCAGACTCAAATGATGAAGTTGGTTCACAAATCAATTGTGGGAGGACACCTAGGAACAAAGAAAATGGCAGACAGAATCACCAACAATTTTCATTGGCCGGGGGCCATTGAAGATGTGGCCAGATTCTGTAGGCTATATAACATCTGGAAGGTAGCCAAGGTGCCACTGGGTAAAATGCCTCTCATAGAAAAAAATGTTCAACAGAGTAGCTGTGGACTTGATCAAACCACTAGCACCTGTTTCTGACAAGGGCAACAGTATGTGCTGACAGAAGTTGACTATGTGACACATTATCCTGAAGCCACAGCACTGCCAAAAATAGAGACAGATAGAGTAGCAGAAACCTTTCTGGAAGTATTCTGCAGAGAAGGCTTTCCTGAAGCCTTGAGTGACAGAGAGAGAGACCCAGTTTACTTCAGAATTTATGTAAGAGATGTGCAGACTCATCAACACTAGGCAGCTCTTTACTACACCATACAACCCAGGCTGAAATGGACTATGCGAGAGAGTCAATGGAGTCTTAAAGAGCACGCTGAAGAAGATGTGCCAGGAGAGATCATGTGACTGGGACAGGTACCTGCAGGCAGTATTATTTGCTTTCCGAGATGTACCACAAGCAAGTACAGATTTTTTACCCTTCGAGTTGCTGTATGAAAGAACAATACGAAGTCCAATGCAGATATTGAAAGAGCTGTGGACAGGAGAAGAAGAAGCAGAAGTGAGGAACACATACCAGTATGTAGTAAACCTCAGAAACCCACTTGAGGAGACCTGTCAACTTGCTTGAGAGAGCTTGTTTGCATCTCAATGAAAACCACTAATCTGTTGAAGAGGTACTTCGAGAGAGAAGAAGAGTGTAGCTATTGAGGCACAGATGGACATGGCAGGTGTAGTTATCATAGGTGCAGAATCCGAAGACAGTGACTTTGTCATCGAAGATGAAGACCTATTAGACTTAAGACTACTGGGTAGAAATGAGACACAGAAATACGTCAATATCCGTGAAGAACTGACTAACAAGCAGAAGAAAGAGGTACAAGATCTACTATGTCAGCATGCAGATATCTTCACAGATAGACCAGGCAAGACAGACCTAGTGCAACACAAGATCGAGACTACGATCAGAGATCGTGTTAAAGTGATGCCTTACCAAACCCTTATGTGATGAGAGACCTGATCAAGCAAGTCGAGGTAATGTTAGAAACTGGAGTCATTGAGCTTTCAAAGTCAGCCTACTGTTCACCAGTCGTAATAGTGAAGAATTATACTTATAAACTGTTGTTAGCCAATTCATTATCAGATCTGTTTAAGATATGGTATATATATGTACGGCCACAACTTCGGTTCGAGAGCATATAAATGTAATGTGGACCAAAAAAGTGAGGAAATAGTTGAAAGTTTACCTTTCTGTACTCGGAGAAGAGTAAGCAAATGACAATAACAATATAAAAGAATATAGCGTATAATTTTCAATATGTTAATACTTTTTAATTTTTAATTATCTTATACAAATTCATGGGTATTTTTAAAATTTTAAACGTTTGTTTTATGTGAATTACAATATATGTGAAAAAACATTACATCTCTTAATAATACATCAGGTTTGAGGAAAAAATAAAGAGATAACATTGTAGAGACTTTTTTCTTTTTAATAGACATCGAGACCGGGGAACCACTGCACCCCGCCTATACTTTGCTAACGACAATTTTTTCAAAAATCTTTTTCTACACAATCGGTTGACTTTGCTAGCCAAAAGGAAACGAGACTACATTTCTTTCTCAAATTACTCCGAGTATCTGTATAACTGGTTATCACCTGAAATATACGTATTATTTGTTTCACTTACGGTTTTGTACTTGAGTAAGGAACACATTAAGGTAATATAATAATAGGTAGGCAAACAACGATTTTTATGCATAAGAAAGAATTTTATTGATGATGGAACATACTAAATGTTTTGACAGAAAATTGGTCTGTCTTATTACGATTTTGTAGCACATAATAAACAATTTAGTTTGTATTTTGTATGTTTTTTTTTCGTGCGCCATTATACGTACCAGCAGAAACGACGCCCCACTGGCGGCTGTTTGTGCTAGTAATTATTAATCGTGGTATTCATACCTCGTTGAAAAAAAATTAGAAAAGTGAACATTTTCTAAAAAAGAATTTTTTTTTTTCTTTTCTGTAAAGTACAGCACAGGAAAAGTGTTCGGATTGTGATCTTTAATCATACACAACTCGTTGCATCGAAATGATTCAATGTACAGAACTCAAAATGTTCATAAATTTTACTGATATAAACAGTAACGTTTTATATATTAAAAGTGGTACAGTTTTTGAAAAAATAATTTTTTTTTAAGAACTCCAGTTTCTCAGTACTACATTTAAAAATTACATCAATAAAGATATAATCAAACCCTCACATACAGTCATAGTGAAAGTTGTGTTCTTGTTTCGAGGAGAGTACTTTTATTTAAAATTGTGTTCTATTATAAAGAAATGGTTGTTGCACATACCACAGTTTTTGTTTTTCTAATTGTCCGAATCTTTAACAACCAATGGGTGAAATATTTTATGGAATTTTGTTTTGGTGCCATTCAATACATAACGCAGGAGTTTTAATTACATACATAGATACTGATATACACACTACGTCCATTATAGTAAGATATTCAAGACAGAAGTGTTGTGTGAGCCTAGAGTGAAACTATATCAGAATCCTTGTGCAAAGCTACTTAAAGTTCGTCTCTAATTCTGAAGGGATAAACTTAAAAAAAAGGTAGCTTAGTCAACAACAACCACCGTCAATTCTTGGGCTACTATAATGTGACCGAATAGTAAGATATGACCGTCTCGTTTGTAGAGCTCCCACAGCATCACAGTGCATAGCGCGATTTTACGGTAACGGGCCGCGAATCCTGAATCCTAGGGTTCACAGTCTGAGCATGCCACGCCCGACTCCTGTGTTAACAAAGAAATTATTGTTTTTCAAAACTTAGACATAAGTATTATATTTGTTTGAAATTTGTTGATCTGAACCAAAATACTTTTTTAAGGGATACGTTTTCTAAACAATGCAGAGGTGTCGCTACACACTGGCATACGGGGCCCATGCCCCGATTCTAAAATATAGTCTTTAAAAAATCAGAATAGAAAACCATGATCGATATAATGAAACGCCGAAAATTCCCGCGCCTATGGACCCTAGCCTTGAATCTTTTAAGAACTTATCAATGCCTTTGATTTTATATTTAACAATGGTATTCCATCTCGTTAACACAGTACCTAAGTTTCATTTTTTAAACTATCATTCTTTATCCCAATCGTACTTTTTATATAGTTATTATTGTACACCTAATTAACTAAATTCTGTTACCAAAACAATACACAGAATATTGTAAAGAAATAAATGGAAATGAAAGTAAAAAAGTGTTTCTGAGTTAGATCTAAGGTAAGATCCATGGTGTTAAGGGTCGGGTGTGGCCAGCTTACTTTCCTTCTGGTTTATCAGTTCAAAATTGGGGACGGCTAGAGCAGATAGCCCTTGAGTAAGTAGCTTAGCTTGAACATCCAAAACAGACAAACCAAGAACTGTAGACGCCGACATGAACCACGTGCAATTTTAAAGCTTTTTTGTGTGAAAAAAGAAACTAGGCAAAACATTTCAATACAGTTATGGGTCCAGTTTTATATAAACCATTACATGAAAATTTCAAGCGAATATACACTATTGTTGGAACAATGGTAATAATTCTGTGAAAACGAAAGGTGTGAAACAATGAATAAATTTTACATACCTGATTTTCAGATCTTAAAATCTTCAACTGATCGTTAATTAATGTATATTTCGCTGCCTCTTCTTTTCTTAAAGCACGTTCTTTCTTTAGTTCTGGACTCCAGAACGTTTTAATACTGTGCATGCTAGAGCCTAGTTTTTGAGTTGTAACATCTAATTCACGTTTTACGTTGTCATATTGACTTTGCAGGTCATTTAGTCTAGCTTGGATCTCTAGGATAAAGTTATCCCTGGAATAACTGGGCCTTTCACTATTTGGAGCTGAGGAACTGTGAGTAGTTCGCGGGATGTGATGACCGGTGTCTCTAGCATATCCGTCCATATCTAGGGCACTTTCACGATCACGATAATAGGGATCGCGCTCCATTTCTCTGTCCCTGTACCCCGAACGCTCCAAAGAACGTTCACGACCTCGGGAATGTCTGTTCATCTCTACGCGGTCGAGTGATCTTTCTCTTGGTTCTTGTATTGGGACAAACTCTCTTTCTTGATCACGTTCCAACGAGTGGTAGCTTCGTGGGGTCCCCCGAGTGATCGATCGACTTCGGTGGCCCGAGTTTTGGGCGGAACTGCTGGTTCGGACGTCCATAACGGGACTATCAGGGTCGTCACTGTAGTAACCTTGGCTAGCGTGAAAAGCGCTACTACTTAAAGAATGAGAGATGTAATTGTCTGGAGGTACGTTTAAAGGGCTGTTATTGCTAGACCTACTTACGCGAGTTCTACGAACCTGCGAAGGCGAAGAATGAACACGTGAAGCAACTGGGCTGCCTTGTCCGGAAGGCGACTGCGTTGTTGATGTGTAGCTTTTAGATGTCAGCCCCTGTCCTAGAGTCGCCATCTCTTGTCTGCGAGACATTCTCGGGGAGCGCTGCGGCACACCAGCGTAAGTTTCTCGCGACATTGTCGATAAAAAGCCGTCTGCCCGAGTTTAATATAAAAAGTGTTAATCTCGAAACTTTCAGTGGCGTCTTCATGCGGGAAATTCAATCAGCAAATAACCTTTGCGTCCGAAATAATAATATTTTAGTGACTAAATGCATAGATCGTTCGTTACCAAGAGCAAAATGCTTCACGCACTCTCTTCGCATCCGTTCATCTTGATATATCGTTCAATGCCCTCGAGCCAATCATGGAAACCACTAGGTTGATTCCTTCGCATCTCTGTAAGCAATAAAACGTGAAATAAGGAAAACGAAAATTTTGGTATTTTTTTTTTATATAAACCTGAAACTCTATTTCTTGATTGGAAAGTTGATACAAATTAATATAAATTAATTTCCTATTGTGTTATATATATATATATATATATAAACAGTGAAATTCACAAAGCTCATTTTCTTAATATTAATATTTAGCGCTGTGCTACTGGTAAAAGTTTGTTAGGATAATGGCGCCTTGCGTGAGAGTGAACTGATGAAGAAAGTAGGCCTAGACGTTGTAAAGAGTTATAAAAATTGATCCAATATCCATTCGACTGATATATGCATATATGTTTTAAACCATGCATTTTATTTTTATTTTTTAGAGATAAGTTGTGTTTTGTATTAGTTATAAGAATAAGAACTTATGAGTGAAAAACAGAAGAAATAATGAAGAAGTAATAAGTAATACTAATAGTATATATACTATTACTAGTCTATAGTAATATTAATACTAATAGTATTAGGTTAGGTAACCCATTAAAATTAGAGATGCTGAATGACCAAAGCTAGGAATGCTTATTTTATTTTAAGGCCAAACGTAAAAATATTGATGTCTAGGCTTTATTATATCTGTAGTTAACAATGCTACCTACTGCTCAAATTTACCAAAATATTCTACTCGCATGTTAACATTGTTGTTTTTTAATATGTTTCCTTTTGTTTTTAATTAGCTAAGTTTAACAACTCCTGAAGTACCTACCTCTGAGTCTGAATCATGGTCTAATGAAATTTAGTATTCAACAAATTTTCTGACTGCAGGAAAGTGTATGGTATGGTTTTTCACAGTATTATAATGTTAAAGAACAATATTGTATAATATGAGATGTACGGATGGAATGTTTGTGAACTTGTAACAGTTTAGAGGAAATAAGTAAGATCAAAGCAATGTGATATTTCTCACAAAAGGAACATTATAACTGATAATATCATTATTGACACATATAAGGGCATGCCACACATTTTGGAAAATTGTTAATGTAAATTTTGAACAGTTTATTAAACAGTGAGATAGATATGCTCAAATATAAGAATGGCTTTCTTATTCTTTCACTTTTCTTACTTATCCGTTTAGAATAATAAAAACCTTTATCAGTTACTGCTGACTATAAAACTTTGTTCAACACAAAAATGGGAACAGACCACATAAAATTCCATGGGCTAAGTATGACCCAGTGGTTAGCGTGTTGTTAGACTGTTGACTTAAAGGACAATTATTTGTGTCCCTTTACTACAAAAAATATCCTGCTACACTTTTTATGGTCTTGGGTGCAATATAAGGGTGGCAGTCAGATGCCACTATTTGATCAGACAAGTAGCCCAGCTGTTGGTGGAGGGTGTTGTTAACTAGCTACCTTCCCTCTAATCTGTCAGTTCAAAATTAGGAATGACTATGTGCGGATAAACCTTGAGAAGCATAGTAAAAACATAAAAAAAATGTAACAAATTCTACCATGTATTATTTTTTAGGCCTTATGAATTAAAGTAATAAATTGGGGAAAAAAAGACAGTAATTGGAGAGAAAAAATTATTTGTGATAGGACCACTAAAAATTTGAAATATGTCCTTTAATATTATGTTTTTATAGGCTTAAGTTGAAGTACTCTTTCATGTTTCACAATCCACAGTCAAATTCTACATAGATTCTTGTTGGTAGTGGTAAAATTAACTACATTGAATTATTTACACTTTTAAAAGCCTTGAATATTCCCACAAAGTATTAATATTCTATTAGTGTCAATTCAATGGTTTGTCATGTTGGTATGTAATTAGTCTTAATATTTGGTATAAAAGCTTATATCTTTATCATTCAGTGTTTTACTCCAAAATTTTCCATCCTCTGCAAGTCTAATACTGATTTGGAATTATTGATTAAAGAAACCCTCCACATCAAACAGCATTCTCCAACACTGAACAACATGCAGTCTTCATTTAAATTATACATTTTTTAATATGTTTGTATTACTGATTTTACTTTTTTGTTGTTGTTGTGTTTTCTTGCTGTAGTTTCTCCTCATGATTACTGTTTTATGTTTTATTTGTTTAATTGACATTAAATTTAGCATTTGTACTTTAGCAGTGTGCAAAGACTGATGTAAATTCATTTTATTCTGCTTTAGATACTAAAGATGGAATCTGATAGAATTCCAAAACGTTTATCCATGTCCCCTTTTTGTCAATAAACAGTATTGTATATCATAAGTGTTGTAATCTTGTTTATTATCAAACTTTGTTTTCCTTCGAACACATCGATTTAATCCATCTGTATTTCAAACTAATGTTTTTTGTTTCTACAATATTTCTATATGAGTATGATATATCTACTGCAAAATTGCATGTCGTTTAATAAGATTTATAATAAGTTTATAGGGACTAAAAGGAGCTTATTAGCCCATTCAAGGATGTCCATTCCAGCTCCCAACTATAACCCACCCCTTACTACTCATGTATTCATCCAATCTTTTTCTTGAACTTAGTTAAATTTTCTGCCTTCACCACCCTGTTTGAAAAGTAATATTGTCTACACTGCAGACAACTCCTACACTGTCAAAATTTGAATTTATGACCCTTGTCCTATTTTTTTACTGCTAAACACAAAAAGCTTTATGAATCTATATTTTCAATACCCTTAATAATATCCTCAATCAAATCCCCTCTGATCATTCTTCTCTCCAGAGAAAACAAGTTTAGAAATTTTAATCTCTCCTTGTAGGACAATCCCAGGTATAATCCTAGTGGCTCTTCTCTGAACCTTCTCCAACAATTCAGTGTCCTTCTTGAGGAAGGGAACCCAAAACTGTACACAGTACTCTAAATGAGGCCTAACAAGTGAACTGTACAGTGAACCAATAATATCCCTTGTCTTGTATTCAGTATGTCTTTCGATGCTACCCCAAATCCTATCAGCCCTATTGCTAGCTACAATACACTGTTTAGATGATTTAAGTGATTTTTTATCACAACACCAAGATCTTTTTCTTCAACCACAGTATTTAATGTATTCCCATTTGAATTGTGAAAACCTTCATGTATCACCTTACCTTTGGAATAGTTAAACATAATCTGCCACATATTGGCCCAGTGCATCAAATTACCTAAATCTCCCTGTAAGTCTGCAACATCTTTGATACAATTAGCCACTCCAAAAATCTTAATTTCATCTGCAAACTTCAAAATCTTATTAGTTATTCCAGAGTCAAATGAAAAGACAAACTTAAGAAATACTCATGTACAGTTTGAGTGAGTTTGACATTTTATTATACCAAGGTATAGTAAATTATAAATATAAATGTGTACAAAATAACATAATAGCTCTTAATATCAGTAGGTGAAATCCATTTTCATATTGCAAAAACTTGTAATGCTTTTGTAATGTACTTGTATTACCCTTAATTTTCATCACACAATCTTAAACTAGAATTCACAAATTTACTGCATCAGAACACCTGCCAGCAGTGTTGATTTACATAGTTGTTTAATAAATCAGATAGCACCCAAAAAGGGTGGGTCTACAGACTTGTTACCACTGTAACAAAAGTAAGAATATGATGTTCACAAATGAATTAGATGACGTTATAGAATTGATAAAATTAGAAACAAACATGTTGAAAGGATACAAGAGAATATAAGAGCCAGTGTACTCTTATTTAATGTACAAAATAGTTCAATTCTTGTGATGATATGTGGACATATGAAACCATTGCTTGTATCAGTTTCTGTGTTAATTTATATTCCATGCTATAAAATGACAGTTTTCGTTTTCTTAAATGTTTAACATCAAACTTATTAATACTGTTTTTAAAATCACTTTTTTTATATTAGAATGGGGGATCAATGGAATTTATAGATTATTGTCCAGAAAAAAAAATTAATGCTAAAATTCAGCTTTCAATACACACAGTGAGCAGAGCACAGACAGCTTGTTGTGTCGCTTTGGGTTTAACAACAAACATAATGGTGATATTCTGATTACTTGTATAGTTGAAATAATCAAAGATCATAATAAATGGAAACCCTAATTTTGATTATATGATTATTTTGATGAGTCATGACACCATTTAATTAACCTGAACAACCTTTAATTAATCAAAAATAATAATGAAAATCAAAATGGCAGAATTTCAATTACTGAAACATTGTAGTAGTCAAAAACAAAAATTGGAAATAATAATTAGTTGATTATTTTGATGACATCACCTGATCTAATAGTAATTTTAATTACTTGATAGTTGGATAGTACTTGATAATTGAGTTAAGTGCCCAGTTTTACCTACTTTAGTAAGTTATCAATTATTACACCTTTATTTTTACTCTTATATCATCATACCTTTAATGCTGTATTCAGTTTAATTCATTGTATGTGCAGAATATGATAACACTTATAAACTGATTTACACCTGAAAAGGTTTATATTATCCAGCTGGACTGGGTGTGGCCTAGTTGTTAGTATGCCCAGAGTATGAATCTGATGGTTCGTGAATAGTTGCTTCAAAAACAAACTGCACTTTGGGACAATAGGTGTACTTTAAAAGTGACAATCAGATCTCACTATTTGATCAGAAAAGAATAGCATTAAGAGTTTGTGGTAGGTGCTGCTGATTAGCTGCCTCTAACGTATCAGCTCAAAATTAGGGAAGGTTATGTGCAGATAACCTTTGTGTAGCTTTATGTGAAATTCAGAAATAAATGTCAGAATATACGGTCATTAACTGTAAGGATTTTCTTCGGTTGGAAAAATCGTAAAGTTTGTAAGTGATAAAGGATAGAGCTCATTGTGTAATTGTTAGAATAGAATAGAGTAAGTTAAATTTTTACTTGGTTGTTAGCAGTTAGTGTGTTTCAACAGATAAAGTTTTATGTCTGGAAAGAGTATAATATAAAAAAGTAGTTGGAAGAGGTAATTCAGTTAAAGATAATCGATAAGGTTTGAAGAATTTGTAATGCGTTTCTTAACAGCTTTTTAATTGGAACAATTAATCCAAAATAATTTGTTGTGATATTTTTCAAAGTTTATATATATATATATATGCTTGTGTTAGTGAGATAATCAAAAATGGAATTTGTAATTTAAAGA